TTTTGTTTTTCGAGACAGGGTTTCTCTGCTGTGGATGATTGATTGATAAATAAAACACTGATTGGCCAGTAGCCAGGCAGGAAGTATAGGCAGGACTAGCAGAGAGGAAAATTGAGAGAACAGGAAAGCAGAGAGGAGGAGATGCCAGCCTGCCATCCAGAGAGCATCATGTAAAGGCAGCAGGTAAAGCCACAAAACATGTGACAACATATAGATTAACAGAAATGGGCTGAGTATAAGAGTAAAAGCTAGACAATGGTAGGCCTGAGCTAATGACAGAGCAGTTTAAATAATATAAGCGTCTGTGTGTTTATTTTATAAGTGGGCCATGGGGTTGCTGGGGCTTGGCGAGACCCAGAGATAAAAACTCTAGCAACATTTCTCCGTATAGTTTTGGTGCCTGTCCTGGAACTCACTCCGTAGACCAGGCTGGCCTCGAACTTACAGAGATCCGCCTGGCTCTGCCTCCCGCGTGCTGGAATTAAAGGCGTGTGCCACCACCACCTGGCTATACAGCCCAATTTTTATGGAGTCATTTTCTCAATTAAGGCTCCCTCTGTTCCCCTCCTCCCATCTGATAACTCCAGCTTGTGTCAAGTTGACATAAAACTAGCCACACAACAGATGCAGTGCTCATACCCTGTAATCCTAGCACTCTGGAGGTAGAGACAGGAGGACCACATCCTCAGCTACGTAGTCAATTAAAGGCCAACTCTGGGCACATGAGACCCAGTCTCAAAAAATACAAGTATTTTTGGCTGAGAAGAACCACAGAATGGAGCTCAGAATTTGTTTTTAAGTAAGACATCATATGTCTTAACTCTTTGAAAAGAAGCATTAATAACATGTATCACATATGCTCCATGGAGGAGCCAAAAATCAGTCCTTAGACCTTAAACCAGGGGCCAGCGAGACAGCTTAGTGACTAAGGCATTTGCCACGCTGCCTGGGCCCCACATGATGGAAGGAAAGAACTGACTCCTGCAAGTTCTCTGCCCTCTACATTCACGTCATGGTATGTTCATGTGTCACAAGAGTGACAGATACATACTAACATAACATGTAAATAAATGCAATTTTTAAAATTAGAAAACAAAAACAACCCAAATCAGTCCATATACACAAGTGACACCTGTAATCTACTACTCTGGAGGCAGATGGAGAATTATTGGAGCCCAAGAGTTCAAGCTCTGCCCAGGAAACAGCAATGAACCACCCACTTCAAAATAATAAGCTGGTGTGGTAGCACATACCCAGAATCCCAGCACTCAGGAGGCAGAGGCAAGATCAGAAGTTAAGGCCATCTTCAGCTACAGTGAGTTAGAAGCTAGCCTGGCTACCTGAAACCCTGTCTCAAGAGGCCAAACAAAGATAAGAGATAACCTTCACATCTGACTATGTTATTTCCTTATACAATCCTTCCAAGACATAATCACTAGCACTATGTTTATATTCCTTACAGTGACCTGCACAGCCATCTAGGACTGTTTCTGCCAGCCTTCCAGGGCTCTCATGTCAGTTCCTCCGGGGTTTTTTCTTTCTCTTGTGGTACTAAGGATTAAACCTAGGACCTTGTGTACAGTAGATGTCTACCAGTGAGCTACACTGCCAGCCCTCCCTTCTCCTTGTTTATTTCACAACCATGAGAACATCCCTTTCCTCAGACATATTCCAGGAAGCTAAACATTGCCAGGGATGCCCTCCCCCTAATCTACATTGCAGGTCTCAGCAAAAGCACCAGGCTTAAGAGGGTGTCCCCAGGTCCCCTTCTAGTGGGGTTCCAACAAGTAATACAATTGTTACATAATTCTTATCAATATAAAATTACTTGATAAACTATGATTTTTCCTTGTTCACTAAACTATAAACACAATGAGAAAACACTCTGTCTAACTTACTAAAACAGTGCTGTCCCCAGAGTCTGGACCATTTATGGAATTAGGAAATGAAGTGTAATATTTTTGTTTTGAGACAGGGTCTCACTCCATAGTCTGGTCTTAAATCCTGTCTAGTTTAGTATTTCAAATCCTCAAATACCATCATGATCGGTTACTTTTTGTTATCTATTTCATGACGTTATTGCTACTTAGCTTCAGGAACTGAATGGATCTTATATAACAATTTATATTACTGAAATTCTCCAAGTCTCTGACAGAGTCTCATGTAGCTCGGGCTGGCCTCAAACCCACTATTCAGCCAACAATGACCTTGAATTTGTGATCCTCCCATCTCTAATCTTCCAAATGCTGGGATTAGAGGCATGAGCCATCACACTGGCTTTATGCAGTGCTGGGGATCAAACCCGGGGTCTCTGTAAGCTGTGCAAGCATTCCACCAACTGAGAGGTCTTCAACTCTTCCAGAAAATAATGGCATTACCTTAATATATTCATTCTGAGTATGATGAGTCTCATGTAAAACTGGAATAACTTTCCCAAGTTTATCTTCTTTCTTCTTACAGTGCACTCTGTACTGCTTAATCTTGGACATCAAGAGATCTTTTTCAAGCATCCATACCTTCTCTTTATTTTGGTTTTCAAATCTTAGCTGTAGAAAGTCTTTGGTGCTTTCATAGAGCAGGTCTTGGGTATGATGGAGACTATGAAAAAAACCAAACAAACAAACAAACAAAAACCCCACAATTGTGAACATGAAGATGCTCACACTGCTTAGCTGAAATACAAGGCTATTCCAAAAGAGAAACACAGCTTCTTTAAAAACTGTACAGTATGAACTCCCAAACAGTAGCAGTTTTAGGGGCTGGAGAGATGGCTCAGCGGTTAAGAGCACTGGCTGATCTTCCAGAGGTTCAATTCCCAGCAACCACATGGTGGCTCACAACCATCTGTAATGAGATCTGGCACCCTCTTCTGGCCTATAGGCATAAATGCAGGCAGAACACTGTATACATAATAAATAAAATCTTTAAAAAAAATAGTAGCAGTTTAAAAAAAACACACAGCATATTTTTCCTGAGCAAAAGATAGCTGAATTTTTTCCTTACCACCAGAATAAGGACAGTACCAACTACTGGAAATACAAAAGCACTGACTAGTCCTGATGACTGTTCTTGATACTTGAAATTTAAAAAAACAAATGATCTTTGGGGCTGGAGAGATGGCTCAGTGATTAAGAGCACTGATTGCTCTTCTGGAGGTCCTGAGTTCAATTCCCAGTGACCACATAGTGACTCACAACCATCGTAAGTGAGATCTTGTGCCCTCTTCTGGCCTGCAAGGGTACATGCAGGCAGAATACTGTATATATAATAAATAAATAATAAAAAAAATGATGTTTGTATCTCTAAAAAAGAATATCCTCAGAAGCTGGCAACTTTATTGGGTTAACACCAACATCTAGAAAAGTATTTACTATAGTAAATGATGCAATTGACTGCAAGAGATTTAAATACCATAAAGCAATCACTATAACTCCAGACCAAACAGTAGCTCTTTCCTGAGTAGCAGGGCACATATGCAACTTTTTTAAAAAAAATTATTTATTTTTATTTTATGTACATTGGCATTTTGCCTGCATGTAGGTCTGAGTGAGGATGTCAGATTTTTGAGTTACAGACAGTTGTTAGCTGCCATGTGGGTGCTGAGAATTGAACCTGAGTCCTCTGGAAGAGCAATTGGTGCTCTTAACCACTGAGCCATCTCTCCAGCCCCGACACATATGCAACTTTTATGTTCACAATTACAAACTGTTTGAAAGTATGCAGATTAGGGGCTGGAAAGATGGCTCAGTGGTTAAGAGCACTGGCCGCTCTTCCAGAGGTCCTGAGTTCAATTCCCAGCAACCACATTGTGGCTCACAACCACCTATAATGAGATCTGGTGTCCTCTTGTGGCATGCAGGCAGAACACAGTATACACAATAAATAAACAAATCAAAACAAACAAACAAAAAAAACCCCTAGATTACGGAGTAGGAGGGGACAAGAGAAAGTAAAGGGGGTGAATATGATCAAACTGTATTATGTACATGAATGAAAATGCCAGAATGAAATCCACTATTATATATAATTTGTATAATTAATATATGCTAAAAAAAAACATTTAAAATATCACAGCTGGGCTGATGTGCTCACATACTAGAACACTTGCCTAGCTTGTATGTAGTCCTAGGTTCAAAACCAAGCACTGTAAACATACATAAAATAACAGCAAAAAAAAAAATAAGTGACACCCAAGGACAGTCATTAATGGCCTAGGGTTTCAGGCCACTCAATAGCCTTAGGATGATGCATCTAACGAAAGGAACTGAGCAGACCTGTACAATACGCAGGATGGCTTTTTACCTGCTGGAAAACTAATACAAAGTCACCATTATTTAGGTGGAGATAGCTCAGTGGCTGAGAGAACACACTGCTCTTCTGGACTCCATGGGCAACTGCACTCATACATACTCAGATTCATCCATACACAAATAATTAATAACTAAAGTGAATCTTTTTGTTTACTTTTAAATCACATATTGTGAGCTGGAGTATAGCTTTGTAGTATAGTGCTTGTCTTGCATGCATGAAGCCCCAAGTTTAATACCCAATACCAATATCACCCTCCACCCCAAAATAGTCAAGACTGGTGGTGTGCGACTTTAATCCCAGAATTTGGGAGGTAGAGAGAGGCAGATCTCTATGAGTTCAAGGCCATCCAAAGCTAAATAGTGAAACCTTATCTTAAAAAAACAAAAAGCCCAAAATGAATAAAATTAGGGCTGAGAATGTAATTCAGTTGGTCCAGCATATACAAGGTCCTGGGTTCAATCCTCAGCACCAAATAAATGGGTACAGGGGAATACTCCTGTAAGCTTAGCACTTGGAAAGCAGAGAGAGGGACTAAGTTGTTCAAGGTAATCCCTTGGTCATATAGGGCTTTTGAGACCAGCCTGGCTAGAGACCTTGTCTCAAAAAAATAAATAAATTTGGGGCTGGAGAGATGGGTCAATGGTTAAAGATATCTGCTGCTCTTCTAGAGGACCCAGGTTCAATTCCCAGCACCCATATGGCAGTTCACAACCATCTGTAATTCCAGTTCATAGAATCTGACATCCGTTTCCTGCTTCCTCAGGCACCAGGCCCGCATGTGGTGTACAGACAGACATGCAGGCAAAACACCCATACATGGAGCTGGAGAGATGGTTAAGAGCACTGGTTGCTCTTCCAGAGGTCCTGAGTTCAATTCCCAGCAACCACATGGTGGCTCACAACCATCACTAGTGGAATCTAATGCCCTCTTTTGGCATAAAGTCATACATGCAGATAGAGCACTCACATACATAAAATAAATAAGTCTTTATTTTAAAAAAACACCCATATACACAAATAAATAAATAAATATTAAAAAAAAAAAAAGCTCAGTTGGTAAAGTGCTTGCTGTATAATCAGGACGACTTGAACGTCTTCCCAGAGTCCACATGAAAAAGCCAGACATGGTGGCACACACTTAAACTCCAGTGCAGGGGAGGTGAAGACAGCAAGTCCCTGAGGCTAATCCCTGTGTTCCAGGCCAGTGAGAGACCTTGTCTCAAGAAACAAGAAAGAGCACCCAAGGCTGACCTCTGGCCTCCACACAACACACACACACACACACACACACACACACACACACACACACACACACCTACACACTTACACACACATATAGATTAAACATGAGGCCAGCGTGCTGATGGATACCTTTAACTCCAATACTTGGGAAGGTAGAGGCAGAAGGATCTCTCTCTGTGTTTTCAAGGCCAACCTCCACTAAATAGAGTATCAGGCCAGGCAGGGCTACACAGTGAGATCCAGTTTCAAAAATAAAAATAAAATTAAAACCAATTAAGCTTGTTTAATGGGGAAAGGAGATGGTTAGGTGCGACTTAGCAAGGATCATCAAGTACTCAACATGCCTATCTGTGGCTACTATAGGTCTTAGGGTAGGTCAGAGACTGAAGAGAAAAACCCTAGGAACAAAGATGTAAGTACAATATATGGTGGGAGGGCCATCATGAAGGCACACTAGCTGGGCAATAGTGGCACAGGCCTTTAATCCCAGCACTCGGGAGGCAGAGGCAGGTGGACCACTGTGAGTATGAGGCCAGACTGGTCTACAGAGTGAGATCCAGGACAGCCAGGGCTGTTAAACAGAGAAACTCTGTCTCGAAAAAAAACAAGGAAAGAAAGGCACACTAATCATTATAATCATTATGGGAATGTGGATTTGGTCTGAGTAAGTCTTCAGTTCAGGGGTTACTGTGCCTAGTGACATGCTTGCTAAAACAATTGTTCCTCAAATTAGTTGTCTGACTGAAGCACAAACTGAACTGAAGCAACATGGGAGGGGCTGAGGCCAGAGGTGCCAGGAAGTGAACTAGGTCCTTCTCAGGAGCAGCGAATGCTCGCAACTGCTGAGCCATCTCTCCATCCCCATAACCACTAATCTTTTTTTTTAATAATTTACTTCTCTTTTATGTGCATTGGTGGTTTGCCTGCACATATGTCTGTGTGGCGGTGCCAGATCCCCTGGAACTGGAGTCACAGATGGTGGGGGCCACCTGATGTGCATGCTGGGAACTGAATCCAGATGTGCTCTTAACAGTAAGCGGAGCCATCTCCTAAGCCATTCAGAAAACAGGATACCTGTTAGGACCGTAATTCTTGAGTCCTCACCTTTTAGTCAGCTCTTTGACTTTGTCTTGATTTCTCTGGTGCTGAACTTGTATCTCCTCAATTCGAATCCGTCTGTCCTCCATGAGTCCTTCAACTTGTTCTCTGGCAAGCTTTGTCTGCTCTTCCAGCTGCGCGTGAAGGGCTTCTACCTACACGGGCCAAGAGGAGTGAGTTAGTCAGCCATGCCTGCTTCTGGACTTCAGATGTCCGAAGGTGAGCCCTTCTTAGGAACAAAGTAAAACGGGGTGGGGTGGGGGCAAAACCTAAAACAGCAGCAAAACAGACAGATCTCAGCTCTGATTCTGTGTGTGTGTGTGTGTGTGCCTGTGCTGTGTTCATACATGTGTGTACATGTGAGTGAGTGAAGCGTCGCCTTCAATCACTCCCCACCTCCTATCTTTTTTTTTTGGGGGGGGGGGGTTTCGAGACAGGGTTTCTCTGTGTAGCTTTGTGCCTTTCCTGGGACTCACTTGGTAGTCCAGGCTGGCCTCGAACTCACAGAGATCCGCCTGCCTCTGCCTCCCGAGTGCTGGGATTAAAGGTGTGCGCCACCACCACCCGGCTACCTCCTTCTATCTTAAAGCATGGCTTCTCACTGAATCACAAGCTAACCAACTGCCTAAGCTGAATGGCCAGTGAGCTCCAGGGACCTGCCTGTCCCCACTCCCCCAGTGCGATTACAGACATGTCTTGTCAGGCCAGTTTTTTTTTCTTTGAATATATATTTTATTTTTGTTGGTTTGTTTGTGTGTATGAACGTTTTGCCTGCACATATGTTTGTCTCATGTATGCCTGGTGCCTGCTGTGGAGGTCAGAAGAGGACATCAGAGTTACAGGAGGTTATCAGCAGTCATGTGGATGCTGGGAATTGAACCTGGGTCCTCTGCAGGAGCAGCCAGTGTCCTTAGCTGCTGAGCCACTGTTCCAGTCCCCAGCCCGGCTAGGTATCTGAGCTCAGGCCCTTCTGCTTTCTGACAGGCACTTTACCAACTGAGTCCTCTCCTAACTCGGAGTTCCCTTTAGTTAATGCCGTATAAACAGTGTCGGGCTATATAAGAATCACCTCTTTGTCCACACTCAGCCCCTCATCTACACCACCCAAAGTAAGAGCTGTAGTCTTCCTACCCCATTATTCTCACTGCTCACTGTCTCCTTCTGGACTTAGAGGACTGTCTTCCTTTTCAGATGCCCCAGTTAGCTGGGCAGTGGTGGCACACGCCTTTAATCCCAGCACTCAAGAGGCAGAGGCAGGCAGATCTCTGAGTTTTAAGGCCAGCCTGGTCTACAGAGTGAATTCCAGGACAGGCAGAGAACCCTGTCTCAAACAAACAAACAAAACAAAAAGGATGCCCTAGTTATACAAAAACATGGCGACTCTTCCAGTTTTGGTTTGAAAATGTAGAGCAAAATGGATGTAATGTAATTTCTTTCTTGGGGTCTGGCTGTTATGACTTTTGAGATACTGGCCAAAGGCAGAAATTTTTCAAGTCAACAGACCACTGCTCCAATAAGGACAGGAACATATTAAATAACATACAAATAACTTGTTGTGAGATAATTTGATTATACTGTGTAAAGATGTATCACTGTGATTAGTTTAATAAAAAGCTAAATGGCCAATAGCTAGGCAGTAGGATGGCAAGGACTTCTAGACAGAGAGCACTCTGGGAGGAAGAAAAGTAGAGTCATCAGTCAGATGGAGAGGAAGCAGGATGGACATTACAGAGTAAAGGTAACTGAGCCACATAAAAGAACAAAGATTAAAAGATATGGTTTAAGTTAGAAGAGCTAGTGAGACAAGCCTAGGCTACAGGCTGAACATTTATAATTAATAGTAGTCTCCATGTCATTTTTTGTGAGCTGATGGAACAAAGAAAAATCTGTCTACACATGGCATCCAATGTGGGACCAAGCATCCACATAAGGCCTAAGAAAGCTTAAAAAACAAAAAAAGTTCAGAACACACAATCAAATGCAACTTCCTAGTAACTACGGTCTCCCAGGTAGGCTCAGCTGCCTGTGGGCTGGAGCCAGCCACCAGCAACATGTGCTAAGCTGGGCTGCACTGGCAGCTGACATGGTTTATAATTTGTCTCACAGGATCAGAATGCTGCAGATGCTAAGTAAAGACAGATCCAGACACATAAAACCTCTAAAAAGGTATAGTATGTTTTAAAATGTGTGTAGGCTTAAAAAAGAAAAGAAAATGGATATAGACAGTCATAGAAAAATAGTTTATAAATAATAATATAAAATCTTAAAAGAGAATAAAATAATATAAAAAAGATAAGCCATGTAAAGATGGAAAATACACAGAGAGTCTGGACCCTATATGATGTCTTATTGATTCTGAATTTTTTAAATGCTGATTGTTAATGAACAGAATAACAGCTGTTGAGAGACACTGGATTGTGAAAGGGACTGCTGAATTAAGCAGCCTAGATACTTTAGAAACGTCTTAACTTTAAAATGGAAGTAAAAAAAATGCATTACTTTGGGGAAGAGTTATGCTTTTGTTTCCACAGAAAACAAATGGCTGTGGATTCATTCAAGGTTAAAGAGGATCAGGTTTGTTCAGGGAAGACCTCCTGAAAATCCTGGCTACAGACATAAAGAAATAAACCTTAGGAGCTAGAGAGATGGCTCAGTGGTAAAGGGTACTGGCTGCTCTTCCAGATGGTCCTGAGTTCAATTCCCAGCAACCACATGGTGGCTCACAACCATCTATAACAATATCTGGTGCCCTCTTCTGGCCTGCAGGCATATATGTAGGCAGAACACTGTATACATAATAAATGAATAAATCTTTAAAAAAAAGAAAGAAAGAAACCTTAAACAACAACAACAACAAAAACTACAAGACAGGTGATGTATATTTTACCTGCTCGAATACAAAACAAAAAATTCACCTTTCACTTGCTTGTGCTCAACACACAGCCCATACTTGTGTTAATGCAAATATGTATGTTACCTTTGAAAGTTTGTATGTTCTCAGAGCAAGGGGACCAGATAGTAATGAAAACGGGTGGCCCCAGTGATTCAGCTTCTCAGATGCCTCTACTGCAGTTTCGTCGGAGTTCTGCATCCAGAACAGCTTCAAGGCCACTGGCTGAGATGGTCCAGCCTCAAAAAGACTGTCCAGTCAGAACTCCAGATAAGCCTTGCACTTTCCCATCACACAGAGACTGAACAATAGCTAGCTCTCCCAGAACTTGATCATTATCCCAATTTTCTCAGGGTCCCCAGAAGTTATCATTGCCCCCAGACAACAGAAAGCATTCTAGGGCACAACACCCACATTCCCAAGAGGTGGGATGGATGGTTTTTAGTCGTTTGGTGGGTTATGGATGTTTGTCATCATTTAGGAAGGTTGGTTACAAATTGTTACTAGTCATGGTCAGGGAAAAAGCTAAACAAAGGAGATTAGATTCAGGGATCTCGTTCTAAAGGGAAAAAGGGAGATAAGGAAAATGATGAGATAAAAGGGTGGGTTGTTGAGTCTACTTTGGTATGGATCTTTCTATATTGACAAAAATTTAAGGTTGTTTTGTTATACTGTCTATATGTTTCTACTCTTGTTTAAGATATTTTTGTATATTGGTACAAATTTAAGGTTACTTTTGTTATATTTTATATATGTTTCTAGTCTTATTTAAGGTATTATACCTATGCAGCTCATTTAAAAATGTAATGTAAAGTTTTAGTCCTTGAAAGCTATTTAAGATAAAAAAGTAATACAGGTTAATAGTCAACTATAACTATCAAAAGTATAGTCGTGTTAGGTATGTTTTCAAGGTCATACAGATATATATTTTAGAGAGATAGGTGATCTTTAAACACTTCAAAGACCTACAGAATATGGCATTTTAAATGTTTTAATAATGTATGGCTTTCCATGATAGACACATCTGCTCCTGGCAGCACCAATTTACTTCAAAAAAGGATGATGGGCATCAAAGAACCTCCATATGGAGTGTACTTTCTTTGTGGCAAAGTTAGCCATTTGGGCAAAGA